GGGGGGGGGGCTCGGCTGTGCGCAACATGTCACAATATATTTCAGGAACTCTTGGATAGCACCACATATATTTACCCCATCAGATCGGCAGTCAGGAGATCTTTCCCTCAGGGATACAGGTTGCTTCGGTGACCAGGATGGGGGTACACACTTTGGGAATGATGAATCACTACACTACTTGAAAGCAACAACTGCGGTATATTTTGGTATGGCGATATTTATGTCTGCAAAGTTACACTAGTCCTCTGTGAGACTTACACTTCATTAGATCACACTTCTGTCACAACTAAGTGTCTTCATAGGGCCACGCCATAACTCAAGCGGTTAGTCGCTAGCTTCTCACCACGGTGACCTGGGTTCAATCCTGGGTCTGGTCAAGTGGGATTTGTGGTGGTCAAAGTGGCGTTGGGGCAGGTTTTCTCCAAGTACTTCAGTTTCCCTTGCCAATCTTCATTCCACCAATTACTCCACAATCACCGTCACCTATCATCTGGGACTGGTACAATAGGCCAGAAGTGGCCACAGTACAAGGGACTTAGTCTCACCCCACTTACTTACTTACTTACTTACTCATGGAGCTGAGCCCTTCTTGAGGAGCCGCCAATTCTGTAGCTACTCTGCAGTTTGGTCTGAACAATTATTATAACACAAGACATGAAATTTGTGTGGTGACATGCTGTCAACATAATTACAAGTGTGGTACAAAATGTGTGTTTTATTTTCCTATGCTCTGGTTTTAGTTCAATTTCAAAGATACTAGCACATTCATTATTTCCTGAACAGACCACTAAAGAAAAGAAAATTTCAGCTGGAGGAATGTTAATTCCAGCAGGTAAATTACAGAGGAAATAATGAAGTCAGAGTGATACGAGTAATAATCATTTTTCTCACTCCCTCATAGCCAATTTGAGACCAGCACTCTTTGCCTCCACACATACAATTAAGAGTTAATGCAGGTATGTACATTTCTTTTTGCAACACTTCCCCACCAAATTTTTCACAAACATTATCAATAAAAATCATGCATTTAATAGTGAAGAATGGGAGAAAGCAAATAATGAGGAACTACGCAATTTATGCTTCTCATTTGCTGCATTTACCCAAATATAAGAAAAATCTCCTTATCAAAATTAAGATTAGGTGAATAATAAAATTTTTAAAGTTTTAATGATGGGTCAGGTCTTTTCTTAAATCGTTATTTAATACAGCTCTTAAATAACATTTACAGTTCAACTGTCTACACCTGCTTGTGTTATAGCAACACGACCTGCAAAAAATTAGAATAATCTGTACTTCCATGATCATGCACAGCTGTCTCAGTGACAATAAGCTTTGTAAATTACTGTACAATTAAACCTACATTTTTCTGACACCAAGAAATCTTTATCATACATACATGTATATTTGGTAGTATGGTCAGGGAAGTGATACGATTATGACAAGCTGTATGTATAGCTAGGACAAGAAAAAAGATATGCATACAGCGTTTTTGTGCGGAAACCTCTTCAAAAGTGACATTCAAGAGGACTGAGAAATAGATGAGTGAGAGAATTAAAAAGAATCTAAGTGCATTAACTGAGTAAACAAGCTCATGGTTATATCCATTTGCAGGCTTTGATATTAGACAGATTGCATTACCATACAGTTATATAAACCCGCAAAGAACCTAGTTCTGAAGTTACAGTACGAGAAACAGAAAGGGCTCAAACTGACCAAACAGCTGACCAAACTGGAGGCTTATAAAAGTCATACGTATTTCTTTTCACACAAATATACCTTCACATTTTTAAAACACATTGCATACCTATGCATGCATATAGCTCCTAAGCCTCACCTCCCAGATGTCCTTCATGCTGAAGTCGTCAGGAATGTCCATCTCCTTAATTGGCTGTCCCACAAGGGGTCCAAACTGTGTGTACTGCTTTAGGTTGCAGCGTGTCACAACACTGAGCCCATGAGTTGGGTCACACACCTGCAGTTCCAGTCCCACAGGCAGTGATTCCTCAGCAAAACTCAGCCTCTGTACAGATGCATCCATCGAGAAAAGCTTCACATCAGTGGTGCTCTCTGAACTGCTGGTGCTGTCTCCTTTCACGTTAGGATGACCCAGCTCTGGAATGCTATCACCTTGTGTCTCCTCCAGGAATGTTCCACCACCATCTTTGTTCAGTCCATCAACTTCCCCATTATTTACAGAGATAACACCATTCACCGAATCACTCCGAGCATTTGAAAGTTCTTCTGGAGTCCTTTCCCCATTACAAATTAGTGCCTTAGTCCGAGCTTGTTTCTTTTCATTCTGCCACTGTCCAAATATCACAGTATCACCAATGATTATTGCAGGATTACGTAGTGGACATGCATCCTGCACATGTCTCGAGTTGCAGTCACAGCATAGCTTGATACGGATGGCCACTCGCTGCTGCAACTGGGGAAGTTCCAGCTCATTGCTGCACTTCAATTCCCGGTCCTCTACTAATCTGTCAGCCTGTTCTTTGCTCTCTGTTTCTGGCACCACTTCCAGGGGCTGATCTTGTGGAATCCCATCTTGAGGTGCCCTACGAATATCATGGTGTTTTCTGAAACAATAATGGTACTTTTTAAAGGCTAAGAACTAAAAGCTGTGCATACTCTGACCTTGAACCAGGAACATCATCCACCAGAGGAGTAGCTGAATATACAGGGTGTCCCAGGAGGAATGTGCCAAACTTCGGGAGGGTGTTCCTTATGTTAAAGTATGCCGATATAACCCAAAACACCTATGTCCAAAGTTGAACGGTTACGGAGATAATGGCCCGAGAAAAGTGTGGTCTTCTAGCGGGTCCACGGATTATACCTATCAGCTGAGAGGAATTATCTCTGTTTGTCCTTGACTGCCGTGATTCATCCTATCCGTGCTTATGGAGTTGGCTTTATCAGAACGCGCAGTCAGCACGTTACGTCATCGCTTACCATTCATGTGTCATGTATAGTGCTTGGAAACGTTAAGGACAATTATGACATGGCGAGTGAGTATTTTGTACTTCAATTTTATGGCTTCATGTCACTCACAAGTTAGTTTGATGTTACGTACATTATTAACGTTACAGAATCCACATATTCCTGCCAGTTTTAATATCTATTTTGTAATCAACAAGTGTGTAACCCCGGTCAAAGTTTGACACTTCTCTGGCCATTATCTCCGTAACCGTTCAACTTTGGACATAGGTGTTTTGGGTTATATCGGCATACTTTAACATAAGGAACACCCTCCCGAAGTTTGGCACATTCCTCCTGGGACACCCTGTATATAAGGGAACTTCAAAAAGTAAGGGAAAATTGACTGGATATTTAATAAAATTGGATGCAACCTACTTAAACTACTACAGCATGTACAGACAACTATAGGGCAGGTTCTGACAGCATGCAACTGATGGCACGACAAGCTCAATTCGAACAACAGTGCAAGAATCATGGCCATCTTGCTAGGAAATTGGACCAGAGGGGAGCAGAGTTCTGTAATAAGATTTTTGTTGTAAGAAGGGAGATTCACAGAAGAATGATTCAGCAGTATGGTGGAAGCTGTTTGAGCGAAAGGAAATGTACTGCTGGGTAGAAAGATTTCAAGAAGGCTGAACATCTGTCATTGATGAATATCGCTCAGGTTGCCCGTGCACAGCCTTCAGTGATGCAAACGTTGCTCACATGGACACACTTATTGGTGAGAACAGGCAGGTTTCTGTGGACGCTGTTGTCACTACGTTGAACGTACCTTCAGTCCTTGAGTTTGCCTGAGGACCTCATAAAACGTCTTCTTGCTTCCTGGATGTAACCCCTTTTTCAGTCTTACAATATTATATTTAAGCATCCTGTTGCACTCTACACGATAAATGATACAAATTCCGTCTCAAGTGCAAACAATATATATTATATGTCTCTGATCTTGCTCTCTTCTACACTACATGTTTCAGCCTCAAACGGCCATCATCAGGTGTATACTCTTACGTTGCTGCCACACTGCACTCAGTCTAAAATTTAACATTTAAAAAACACATTGTTATTTTCTTCGTTATTATCAACATCTACCTCGTTGATATCTGTCTGGTATGTAGATTATTTTGCACACGTCAATTTTGATTTTCCTGTGGTAGCACTATAAAATCTTTAGTTCTAATTTTAAAATCCTTTAAAGAGTGTGTGTGTGGGGCGGGTGTAGCGATGGCGACCAGCATATGGGGCCCGAATAGTAGCGGCCGCATATAAACAAAGGACTCTTAACAATGTGCGGCTCAATAAGGATCGGTGCTTCGAACCCAGGAGTGGATCGGTGCTTGGAACCCAGGAGTTCAAGATAGCGGTGGCTGGACAAGAAAAGTGACATCGAGCAATGCTGCGGTGAAAAGGACGAACCAGGTAACAGATCGGAAGAATTGCATCTTGAGGACAACCCGACTCATCTAAAGGAGAATCAACCCCGGCGATCTTCAGGTCAGGTTGGTGGAAAGTGAAAGTGACAGAGACAGACTAGGATTGTTAATAATCAGGGAAGGTATGATTACTCGCAGATATTTGAGAAACAAAAGGGTAATCAGAGACAATAGTGAAGAAGGTGAAATGATGGATGAGGAGACGACGCAGTTAGAAGGCGTAATTATAAGTGAGAGTGGGGGAGATTCAGAAGGAGAAATGGACATGCAGTGTGGTCAACCGACAGAAGGGGACACAGGTGGAATCAGTGAGAGTAGGGGAGAACAACTGACGAGTGCTGACAAAAAGGGGAAAGATGACCAAATAGATATGCAAGCGATAATGTCATGTATGAAGATGTTTCGGGAGAATAGGAAGGAGAGCAATAAAATAATGGAGATGTTCCAGGAGATTAGAGAGAATAGGAAGGAGAGTGAAAAGATTAGAGATGAATTTAGGAAAGAGGGTGAAAGGAGAGCAAAGGAATTTAATGAAAGGTTGGAGAACATATTTGTTGTACACAAGCGTGAGATGCTGTCATCCATGAATCAGATCGCGAGTGACGTAGAACTGAGGACAGATCGGAAGATTGAAACAATGAATAGGGAAATTAGCCAAATAACAGAGAGTACCAACGGACAGTTTCGAGCACTGACCGAGAAAGTGCAGAATGATAAAATTGAAATTACTAACAATTTTGAAATCTTGAGACAGGAAGTGACAGCATTTCACACTCAGCTGGCTAAGCAGTCTGAGAATAGGTGTGAGAGGGTAAATCAATGCAAGAAACGAGTGGCGGAAATTGAACAGGCTAGCGGACATATTAGCAAGCAGTATGATGTTGTCAGTAAGCAATATGATGAATTGAGGACCCAAGTTGATCTAATGAAAAATCAGAAACGAGTAGAAAGTAAGAATAATTGTGAAGAAGTTCAATGTATGGGGATTACTAACCGCCAATCGGATTCTAGGATTGAAAAGACCCTCTCAAGCTCAGACATCATGATTACTCATGTTAATGAACCAATAAGTAAGGAAGTTTCATGTAATGGTTCTAATCCTCACGATGACGTCGATAGTCAGGAGAAAGTGTGGAGTGGCAACCCTGGAGAATTTGTCAGAGGGATCCTCAGTCACCCCGTAGATCTCACATTACCAATATTCGAAAACAAACCGGACCAAAACGCCCAGGCGCATTTGAATTCCTTAGGCGAATACATACAAATCAAGAATATTCCTCCACTGCTTCAGTTAGCTGTAGCGTGGCAATCTTTAAAAGGCATTTCAGTCATGACGTGGGCTGATGCTAATTGGGATCAAATTAAAACGTTTGAGGGATTCCGCAGAGCTTTCCTGGACAAATTCTGGAGCCTCTCAGGTCAGGCAAGGGTTCGACTCCGGATCTATCAGGATAGATACGACCCGCGAGGCGCAGCGAACTACTGTGACCATCTTATGAAGTACGCTGTGAAAGCTAAATACCTAGAACCTCCGATGTCCAACCTAGAATTCTTGAATGCCCTCAAAGAACATTATCCCCTCGGGGTAAAGAAGGCCTGGGTAGTAGCAAAACCTCAAACTCTTCAGGAGGCGGCGGCATTCCTTTCTGACGTCGCAGACCTCGAAAACGATCAAGTGGATTTCGAACCAAGGGAGCGGAATAATGCGCCTACCCTCTAAAACCCCATTCCATACCTCTGACAAATTCACATGACGTTGGGTGATGAACTGAATTCATAATAAGATAATAATTGTTAAGATAGGTATAAGGAATAAACATGATCTGTTGTTATAATGTTAAGAGTGGAGCGTCCCCATGAAGAATGGATGAGGATTGGAGGTATGAATGTATGATGAGGAGGGGAAAGGTGAAATCCCCGTAGTGCTTGTGGTTACTCATATAATCGCAGTCTGGTAGCTCTAATATCTGTTGAGAACATCGGTGATTTGAGATCAGTTCAGTATAGGGAAGCTACGTTTATCATCAGATAAGAGAACTGAGTTCTATCCATATCCTAAAAGTGTATCATCGGAAGAAGAAAATTACGGAAGATAATATTAAAATGGTATCGTCGAGCGAGTGAGTGGAGAGAGATAAAAGAGTGGAAGGAAGAAGGGAGAGAGACATTCTAAAAGTGAAATCGTCGAAGCAAGAATGTGAGTGGTGATAGATAAGTGGCCTGAGAGGCGTAAGGAAGATGTGCTGAAAGTGACGTCCCCGAAAATTGAGTGTAAAGCTAAATGTAGGTGTGGGCATTGGCGCTACTGAGGAAATAATAGTTGGTTAGAATTGTCAGAAGGCAGGTACTGATAAGAGTGTAAGTGAGCTATTGTGATGTAAGCGGAGAGATTCCTGAAGCAAAGACTGTCAATCACTGAGTGTCGAGGCTACCCACCTGATGTAACTGGAGTAATCCTAGGAGAATGATAGGATTATAAGGATTATCATCTTAGCATGTGAAATTTTATTTGTAACGTGGGGACGGTCCATTATATGTGTAAGAAGTCTTGTATTGTTTGATTTTAACTTAAGTGTAATTTGGTACGTGAAGGGCGTACGTGAGAGTGTCATCAAATCAGAGAAACTTCTTTCATCACATGTGTTTCGGAAGTTACCTGATTTAACGGGGGAGTTTGTAACCGTACGCATCCTTCACGGAGGAGACTTTTTTGTTTGTAAGTAACGGTTAAGTTTGGCTGTGGAAATGAGATGCCCCGGAGGGATCATGGTCCTCTGAACTGGCCTTTTGTCGCGAGGGACAGAAAGGAGGTTGGTGAGTCCATTGTATTCAGGGGGAGTAGGTATACCTTCTTTCGTCCGTGCCTGTGGGGGTGGAGGACCTGTGGATAGAAGCTTCGAGAAGGTCTGCAGACCGGAAGGGGTCCGTGTATTTGGTCATGAAGCCCTCCGAGTGGAAGGTTCGAGATGGCTGTAAGAACGTGGTTTCTGAAAGCAGCAGCGGGGGTAATGGGGTAGTGGGTGAGTAGAAGCCAGGGAGTGAGGGTGTTCACGTGGAACCTGTGCTGAGGGATTAACCGATCGAGCCTGCATCCAAAATGACGTAAGCGAGCCAACACCCGTGTACCCCTGAGATACAAGACTCATAACCCTGAGTTTAGCCGAGGCATACACCACGTGGAAGTAAAGAGTGTGGGGCAGGTGTATTGGTTTATTTTTTGATGCTATATCAACTGCTGTGTTTATGCAATATCAGTAAGATGAGATGATAAGTATAACTGGTGAATGGCCGCGCCATAGCTCAAGCGGTTAGTCGTTGGCTTCCCACCGTGTCAGCCCGGATTCGATCCCGGGTCTGGTCAAGCGGGATTTATGGTGGACAAAGTGGCGCTGGGGCGGATTTTCTCCGAGTACTTTGGTTTCCCCTGCCAATCTTCATTCCACCAAATTCTCCATCATAATCACCCGGGGCAGGCTACTATTTGCCAATCAGTGGCCGTTGTGCCAAGTGGACCCAGTTGGACTCCACCCCCCACTAAGCGAATAACTGGTGAATGGAAAGGATGTGGAAGGAAGCAATCATGGCCTGTTTCAAGGCACTACCCCAGCATTTGCCTGGATGACTGGCAAACATGGTATATGTATAGTCACATTATTTCTTCAACCATTCAATAAGTGCTTTTGTTTCCATTATGCTTGAGCTCTCAGTCTCTATAATCATTCTTTGTTGCGCATTACATTAATAGTTTTGTTGGTATCAAATTGACATACATACTCTGTGGCTGCTTCCAGTCCTTTCAGTGCATCCAAGAATGTTGTTTTATGTTCTGCAATGTACTCTTCCTAATCTGTTCCTTCTTCAGGCTTAATCAAATGTTGATCTAACACCTGGTTGACACTTCACAACCCACAGGCATCAAGAGCATTGTCACTACACTCCAAGAGGTTGTAAACTATGCCAGTCATTCTCTTTATCTTCAGTAATTTTCACTACACTGTCATCATTGCTGCCAATACAACCAGTTGAGAAATCACACTTCACAAAGCGATTCTTGATTGTAGTAGATGTTAGATGTTATTAATATCCATGGTTCTGCTACTATGTGCAGTGCAGACAACACATACAGCTTCATCTGTGCAGCATCTTGGAGCAGTCCCCCAGCCATTGTGGTTGCAGTCTTTGAACTTGGCTGCTTTTGTACTGGCATTTGAATGCATGAATGACTCCCAAATACAAAGGCTATGCTTGGGTGGTATAGTTAACTGGAATAAACAGAACTTTGATGTTGCTGAAAAATGTAGTGTTCTATGAATGAAAAGTACACTGATAAAGCAATATTTTGTGACCTTTTCCCGCTGTTTTCTAATCATTTGTGTTGGGTGATATTAGATAATTTTGTGGTCATCCAAGAATTTGTACTAGCTTCATATTCTGTAGGTAATCTCTTAACATTTCCAATTACTAGAGTGGTAGCTTATCGATACCATCTTCATTACATGTGAGGAGCACAGTAACCCACTGTTCAGATTTTGTACCACCATGGCAAGTTTCCTCAAAAAATGAGGGTTTTGCTAGGTTGTAGACAAAAATATACCTGTCTCATCAGCATTATTTATGTCACAGAGGTCATCCTTCAATTTCTTGCAACAGTCAGCCATTTTTTCTGTCTTCTACAATTTCTGAATCAACACTCCTGCTCTCACCTGATAGATTTCTGTAAGCAATCTTGTGTCTCTTAATCTGCTGATCAAACCATTGGAAACCAAAAAGTTGGCTATTTCCAAATGAGCAGAGATGTGTAAGCCCCTCTCCTTGAGGCAGGTGCCATCTATGGAAGCATTACTCACATGCTTCGTTGAATTATGCAGCAAGTGCAGATTCCAGTTCCAATGACTTCTGCTGCTTGGAGAAAGGTCTGCACTGAAGGTCTCAACTGCGATGCCTGTTCAACATGTGTTCCAATATATGCATCAACTTGATCTAAAATATTTATTTTGCCATTTATTGTTAAGTGGTTTAGGTTTCCTTTATGATTCATATTTCACCTTTTCGCTGTGAAATTTGTCTTAGTCCATAATAAAATTTGGTCTTTATAAAGTGAAGTCACATGGGTACAGGAAAATTGAATAATTTAACCTGGGTGCATTCCTGTTAAATGTTCCACTTACAGAAACATAATGGTCACTGTGCTGCAATGATCATTCTTCAGCACATCAGCCAAAGAAGTTGGAGATGAAATACACTCGTTCAGTTACTGTTATACTAAGTCACATGATGTTCAAGGCTGACCTGGCATGCATGAGCTGTTTGGATCACAGTGGCAGAAAAATCTGCTCATGCATGCTAGGCCATAGTGAAGTCACATGGTGCATGCATGAATCACTTGCAGCCATGTATCAGCAGCCACTTGAAACATATTTTCAGACTTAACTATTTGTAACTGCTAATAAGGATGGAGGTCCATTGTCTTAGATATGAAATCGTAATAACTGAACTACAAAATGTAAAATCAGTATATTTTCATAACCAGGACTGGAAAAATGAAGTGCGGAATCAAGGAAAATGTAAAGTTGCAGAAAAGTAAAATCCGTTAACGTTTAACATTATTTTTATGGGTAATTAGCTATGTGTGTAAATTCACAAATTATGTAAAATCCAGAATTGTAAAATTGAAGTTTCACTGTATTTTGTGTACAAGCCATACCCCAATTCTGAAGCATACATTTTTCTAAAAACAGTGCATTTATACACAAGTAAAAAAAAAAGTAATAACAATATTATGTTGATTAAATCACGGAATCTGACATGGGCAGGACATGCGGCACACACAGAGATGAAAAATGCAAACATCAGAAAACATAAAATGGACACTGAAGAGAAGTTTTAGACCTAAGAAAAAGAAAACACCAAAGAATTATATATAATAACACAACAGGATGAATGAAATGAAAATTAGAAACGGTGAACATTACAAATGAGGTGCTTCATACTTTATCTAATATTAGTAGTGTGATTACAACTAAATCAAAGGGATGAAATCGATGGAACAGGCAGCAAAGCACATATCAGAAAATAAGACAACACAGAAAGAATGGTAGAAAAATAAAAGACTGAAAATAAAATGTTGTGGTGATTTGGAATGCGAAAAGAGAAGAGACATGGCCAAATCAATGCATGGGACACCAGCAGGAAGATGACAAATGGGAACACCAAAAACTACTTGGTTCTGTGGAAGAAAATCCCCAGATGAGACAGAATGTAAACATAATGTTACAGGTACTCACTTCTTTGTACTGTGTTCTCCATGCTTGTGCTTTTTCCTCTTGTGCCTTGTGCTGCTCTTGAGCTCTGTACTTGGCTCCTGAGCATTGTGATTCCTCCTCTTCTTGCGTCTTTTAAGCTTGACACGCTCCCCAACCTCGATGTGCACCTCATCCAGGCACATGCTCACATTGTTCTGGCCTGCCAGTACAATATCGTCACCACAGCAGTCCACCTTAACACCTGAGTCTTTGGAGTCACCTACATCCTCATCTACTGGCTCCTCCTTCTCTTTCTCAACGGGGGGATGCACCACTGGGATCTCCTCGCTTAAGGGTTCTTTCTCTTCCTCACCTACAGCACCAGGTTACATAATGTCTCCAGCCTATGCACAGTAAACTCTCAATTATCCAAGTTACATCACCTACTGTTTACTTAATAAAAGTGAAAAAGGAATATGTACTGTAAATATTTTTGTAACATGTTCCTCTGCAATTTTGCAGATCCCACTAGCTGATTTTTACTTACCGAAGATACAAATCTAATGTTGCAAAGCTAATCAACAACAGAAATATAAGATATGTATTACATCTAATATCTTATTGGTAAAAGTACAATGTTCCCACATTGTAACATTAATAAATTTACTTGGACATCTCCTGATGGAAAGACACAACCAAATTGACCATATTTTGGTAGATAGGAGATGGCATTCAAGTTTGATGTCTGATGATTCAGGGCAGCAGATTGTAATATTTAGGGAGAGATTAGCAGTGAGTAAACAAACAGTGCACAGAGTTCATACGGAGACGTTCAGTCTCAAGAAATTAAATGAGGTAGAGGATAAAGAGCAATATCGTGTTGAAATCTCAAATAGGTTCACAGCTTTGGAAAACTTAGATGCTGAGATGGTGGCAACAGAGCTTGAGAAACTATTAGAATATCAAAATTTCTGCCAAAGAGAGTCTTAGGTTATTATTAACTGAAGAAGCATAAGCCATGGTTTGATGAAGGATGCTAAGAATTAGTAGGCCAAAGGAAGAAAGTCAAATTACAGTGGTTACAGGATCCAAGAGAAATAAATGGGGATAATCTGAACAATATAAGGCTTTTCAGGAATAAAATGATGGAATATCTGAATGACAAAATTGATGATCCTGCAACAAACAGTAAGAACAAGAACATTAGACACCTGCTTAGAGGAATAAATGACTTTAAGAGGGGTTACCAACCTAGACGTAACTTAGTGAAGGAGGAGAATGGTGATCTTATTGCAGATTCCCACAACATGCTGAATAGGGAGAAGAATTACTTGTCTCAGTTATAAAATGTACATTGGGTCAGTGATGTTAGGCAGATAGAAATACTGAAAGCTGAGCCGGTAGTACCTGATCTCAGCCCTCCTTTGGTTGAAAATATTATTGCAAAATTGAAAATGTATAAATTGCCAGGTATTGACCAAATTCTAGCAGAACTTATTAAAGCAGGAGGTTAAATACTTATTATGTATTACATTCTAAATCCACAAGCTAATTAATTCTATTGGAATAAGGAAGAACTTCTTGATCAGTGGAAGGTGTCTATTATTGTATCAGTTCGCAAGAAGGGTGATAAAACTGACTGTAGTAAGTTTCAAGGGATATCACTGTTATAAACTTCATACAAAGTTTTATCCAATATTCTTCCCTTAAGGTTAAGTCCATAAATAGATTAAATTACTGGGGATCATCAGTGTGGGTTTTAACATAACAGATCAACTACTGATCAAATCTTTTGCATTTGTCAGATATTGGAGAAGAAATGGAAGTACAATGAGGCAGTACATCAGCTATTCACAGATTTCAAGAAGCATATGATTCAGTTAGAAGGGAAGAACTGTACAATATTCTAATAGAGTTTGGGTACCCATGAAACTAGGTAGGTTGATGAAAATGTGTTTAAACAAAACATATAGTGAAGTCCATTTGGGTAAATATTTGTCTCATAATTTTCCTATTAAGACTGGTCTAAAACAAGGAGATGCTTTATGGCCACTACTTTTCAACTTTGCTTTAGAATATGCCATTAGAAATGTCCAGGAAAACTATGTGGGACTGGATCTGTGGCGGGGTGGTAATGACTCCACCCTCGGTGAGGTTGGCCGAGCCATGGCTGTGTCTTTGATGGGGACGTATCATGGACCAGGGATGCGTTGGGACACAGCTTTGGAACACCTCCTCATGGTCCCGCCGGGCAACGACAGTCTTGGGGGTCTGGATCAGTATGACCTTCCGGGGCTGGCGGCTGAGTTTCCATAAACAGCGATGGCTATATGACCAGAGCCTCCCACGCGGTGGCATAATGACACTTGGGTGTCACTACGGTGTACCCGGAACAAATGCAGGAGAGCACTCCTATGGGGGTAGCTACAGCTATTTGAGTTGTCTCCCTAGAGTACTGATAAGGTGCTACAAGCCTTACGGCTCAACACTTTAAAATGGTTTGACCAACCCATGTGGAGGGTTGGAATGGGGGAGCTCAGAAGCAACCCCCAGGGGCAATAATCTCGTGTAGGATGACCTGGTCGCAACCTCATTACTAATTGGTGTCGCGCTCCCATTTATCATCTGGGATACCCCTCTCCCCCCGAACACGCACTCTTGGTCCTGCAGGTTTGTAAGGGTTGCATTCACAACAGGACCAAAACACCTAAGCCAAGGTGTGAGGCATCGTGCTGAGGGCTGCATGGCACTGGGGTGGTAATTAGCCAGTATCTTGAACGATCTCCTCAGGGCACCAGGCAGCACCCTGTTGTATTTATGCCTTCCACCCATATGAGGCGCTGTGGGCGGTGACCTTTTAAATCCCCATAACTCGTGGGACCGAACTGAATAAAGGAACCAAATTAAGAAGAACTGGGCGTAAAGACCTTAAACTGAAGATGGACCCCCTTCCAAGGACATCCTTACGAGAAATGCTTCAGCAGGGGGCTGGAAGCTCTGGTGAACCATTAAGGAGCCCAGTTGTAACCAGCGAACCTGCTGTTTAAATTTCAGCCAAAGGCAAGGATGAACCAGTGGTTCAAAACCTGCCAGAGGTAAAACCAAAAACTACTCTCCTGGGGGTCAGTAGTACTGACACACCATTGCAGGGAGCTAGTACTTCTAACACACCTGCAGCAGGAGAAGGAGTGGGACACCTAGTCTCTGGAGTAGGTGGACCCTGTCTGGCGAAGAAAGCCTTGTCTGGATTTGCTAGATGGAAGTTGAAAAAAGCAAGAGCTGAGGCAAGCAAAGCAGGAACTGGGAGGTGAGCAACCACGAAATGCAGGCTTGTCCAAGCAGGAAGAAACCCCCACCGGCAACTTTAAGAGGCCAAGGTCAGAGGGCAGTACCCCTACAGAAACGGCCAGAACTCCGAAAAGGCCCAGGGATTTACAAGGAGGCTCTGACCAATATAAATGACACTTATCCTGAGGATAGGCTTAACGAAGATGACCAAAATTCCATTCTGGAAGCATTGGGGGAGGTGTTACGTAGGACTCCAAAGGGAGAACTACCACACCTGAAATGCTACAGACTAGTGAGAGGTGCACTTATTTATGTATGTGCCGACCAACAGGCTGGTCAATGGCTCACCAAAGCCACTGACAACCACAGGCTGGAATCAGGGGCCAGGCTGAAGGCTACTGATGCCAGGAACTGCTTAAACATGTTTAAGTGGCTCTCCGAACTAGGGACAAAATTGCCCACAATCAGGAAGAGCTGCTGAAATGGATTGCAGGCCTTAATCCAGGACTTCATACTGAGAACTGGAGGGTACTCAATAAGCAATCTGAGTCAAAAGGCCAAAGGCTCATCTTATTCATAGACTGGGACTCCCATATTATTATACAGAGGACCGGTTACAAAATATTTACAGGACTCTCACAGGGAACTGTTAGGGTGCTGAATGATCCTGAAGTTCAGCACCAGGTAGAACCTGCGACAGATATAGTATCTTCTAACTCGGTCTCTGAGGAGGAAGGGGATGAAATACCCAGCCTCCCGGATGACCAAATCAAAGTGGATCAGGGGACCCCTTCACAAGGAACCCAGTCCGAGGACAGAGAGGGACATAAGATGGAAATTGACCCCTCACCAATTGAAAGAGATCATGAAATTTCTTCAAATCAACCTACACCACAGCAAAGCTGCCATGGCAGCTCTGTGCCAACAATTACCTGAGGGTAAGACAGATATAGCACTTATTCAGGAACCTTGGTTATACAAGGGTCAAATAAAGGGCTTAATTAACACAGGGGGAACAGTTTACTCTGCTGTACCCAGTAATAATGCAAGATCTTGTGTTTATATCAGGAATCATGTTAATGCCTTGCCTTTGCTGGAGCTCTGTTCTAGGGATGCAATAGCGGTAAGGATAACATACCCGTATCTAGGAGGCAGCAGGGAGTTGATTATTGCTTCAATCTACCTTCCATAGGACTCGGATGAACCACCACCAACTAAGGAGATGAGGGACATCATAGACTACTGCTATAGCAGGAAGAAGCAACTCATTATTGGGTGTGATGCCAACATGCACCACATCTTGTGGGGGAGCAACAGCACTAAGCCAAGGGGAGAGAGCCTTATGGAATTTCTGGCGAGTTCGAACCTGAATATTCTAAACCATGGTAACGAACCTACCTTTGTGGTTTGCAATAGGAAGGAGGTTATTAATTTGACACTAGGGACAAATAACATAGGAAACCTGGTAAGTAATTGGCATGTATCTGATGAGCCGTCCCTATCGGAGCACAGATATATCGTATGTCCAAAAATTATCCGACTTCATTTTTTTCCACTGTAAGTAATAGCCAAAGGGGTGGGGAAACTGAGCGTAGTGGTAGAAGGGACTTTCATGCACATGCGTGATTTTTTGCTGACTCGCAACACTGCTGGATTCATCTATGGCTGCCAGATAACGATGTGGTGTAACACGTGTTCGTCGCATTCTCGTTTCACTCAAGATGACAGAACGCCTGGAGCAGCGACACTGCATTAAGTTTTGTCAGAAACTTGGGGATACCCAAGAGGAAACAATTCACAAAATTCATCAGGCTTTCAGCGATGATGCAATGGGGGTCACTCGAATGAAAGAGTGGTTCAACTACTTTAAACATGGCCATATATCAACGGACAGTGAGCAATGTTCCGGAGACTGTCAATGAGCCGAAATGCTGATGTCACTGAAAAAGTGCAGACACTGATCATGGAGGACCATCGTTTGGTCATCCGTGAAGTTGCTGATGAGGTTGGGATCAGCAGAAGTCCCGCAAACACAATTTTAACTGAGGATTTGGGCATGGGAAGAGTGGCAGCAAAATTTGTGCCCAAGTTGCTTTCGCCAGAGCAGCAAACAATTCCACCTTGAGGTCGCGCAGGATATGCTGGAGTGCGCCAACAGGGATCCTGAGTTCCTGAAGACTGTGATCACTGGTGATGAGTCATGGTTGTACAGATATGACCCGAAAACCAAGGTCCAGGCATCACAATGGAAGCATCCAACATCCTCGAGGCCCAAAAGAGCACAACAGGTTCAGGGCAATGTGAAGGTGATACTGACTGTTTTTTCCGATTACCAGGGTATTGTGCATCATGAGTACGCACCACTAGGCCAGACTGTCAATAAGGAGTACTACCAAGAAGTCCTCCGCCATCTTCGTGATGCAGTTCGGCTCAAGAGACAGGAGCTGTGGGACGCACGCAACTGGCAGCTGCATCACGACAACGCCCCAGCTCATTCATCGCAACTGGTCCAGGGTTTCCTGGCCAAGCACAGCATTCCACAGGTTCGCCAGGCTCCCTACTCTCCTGACATGGCTCCTTGTGATTTCTGGCTGTTCCCAAGATTGAAGACACCACTAAAAGGCTGCCGTTTTGACAGCCGCAAGGACATCATACAGAACGCGACAGCGCAGCTACACGCCATTCCAAAAGAAGCCTTCCAGAATTGCTTCCAGCGATGGAAGGACCTCTGGGCTTAGTGTGTGGAGTCACAAGTGGCCTACTTTGAAGGCGATTAGGTATTGTAACCACCCAGATACAGAACATTTTTTCCCCGGCCCAAGGTCGGATACTTTTTGGATAGAGTAGTATATGCTATCAAATAAGCAACATTACAGTAGATCAAGCTACTTATAGGAATCCTAAGAGAAGAAATTGGGAGTCTTACAAAGACAACCTAAAGGTAAATCTAGAGACCATCTCACGAAATATACGCATAATAAAGGATGCTGATCGGTCCGTTTACCAGTTGCAACAGGCTATTATCTCATCCTTTAATAGTAATTGTCCAGCTAAGACTACTCACAGACCAAGGAGAGCGCCTTGGTGGAATAAACAGCTGCGTGGGCTTAGAACCAAAACGAGAAGGCTGTTCAATACAGCTAAAAGAACAGGACAGTGGGACACCTACAAGGAAGCCCTTACCTGTTACAACAAAGAAATAAGGAAAGCCAAGCAATCCTCATGGAGGAGGCACTGCCAGGAGATCAATGATGTACCAGGTGGTGCCAGACTCATGAGGATCATGGCAAACCAGGAGACCAACAAGGTCAGCACAATTAAGCTGCCTAACGGGCAGTATACTCAAACAGGAAGGGAGGCACTGAACGAATTATTCAGGGTTCACTTTAATGATTCAAAATTGATTGATAATATGGACGATGGACAGGGTCAGCAAAACCTGGACACTTGCCAAAGCAAGACGAACAGGGCAGACTGGAACCTGGAGAAAGTCATAATTAACCAATCAAAAATCAGATGGGCACTGAATACTTTTAGACCATTTAAGTCAGCGGGAACACATGGAATTGTACTGGCACTTTTGCAGCATGGGGCAGAACTTTCAGTTCCACACCTATTCCGCACATATAGAGCCTGCAGGGCATGTAGCACAAAATGGGAAAAGAGGAATGCATATAGGATATTGCTGGGAAAACTGAACAAAAGGAGACCATTGGGAAGACCAAGACATAGGTGGGTGGACAATATTAAAATGGATCTTAGAGAGATAAGATGGAATGGTATGGATTAGATTAATCTGGGTTAGGGTAGGGACCACTGGAGGGCTCTTGTGAACATGGTAATGAACCTCCGGGTTCCATGAAATGCTGGGAAGTTCTTGAGTAGCTGCACAATTGGTGGCTTCTCAAGAAGGGCTCAGCTCGACGATTAAGTGAGTTATGTTCAATAAGTACATTTTTGCTACATGAAAAACAAGAATAAGAGTATAAGAATACCTTTGTTTAGTCTGTATCACACCTACGGGTTGTCTGTTTGTAGTTAGAGGCAAGAAACAGCCTCCCACTATGCACCAACAGAAGCTCCTCGACCTTACAGTGTTTTTACAATAAATGAATATTACATAAACAGAAGCTTACAGTACAAGAGGAAGGTTAAATAGACTCAGTACAATGATTTTCACTTTTCACAACAAAGTAAGAGTTTCAGAATGAGACTCAAGATTCTGGAAGAACTGGAAATACTGTTTCATTTCCTTCAATGCTTGAATTTGGTAGTGGAAAAAAAAAAAATACTGTAAATGAAAGCGACGATCAACTATAAGTCTAACTTCAGACATTTCTTTCCTAGTTACTGGTTTACTTAACTACACTTCTTGAACTACTGAGGTTATTTGGATTCAAATGGCAGAGTAACTGTTAATCATGAAATGGGAAAGATGGAAAAAGAAGTGGCCATGACTGATTTTAAGGTATTGTCCTAAAAATCTGCTTAGACAAAAAATAAGCAACATAAAAAATACCTTCAAAGCTAGGCTCACAGAAATAAAAAGCAGACATGCAAACACATCACTGCAATCTGCATAATCTCCTTAGTGGTAATGTGAATGAAGGCATGGAGAAACTTTGAACTCTTAATTAACTTGATAAGAATTCCAAGGAAGAAACATGAATTATACATAACATTCCACAGGTATGATTCTGAAGCATGTGTAAAATGTGATTTGTCTTTGTTCTGGCAGAAACTGGATTTGGGCTGACTAACATGATGGTTCTTACAGAAGATCATTTCAGAATATTCATGGCGCTTTTAACTGCCTACTTCCATGTGGTAATACTAAGTCTAAGGTGTTTCGTGTTTCCTTAAAGTTTTCCAAGAAACATTCCTGCCCTTTCACCAACTAAACACAAAACAAATGACCAACCTGGCACAACTTCTGTCTTTAAACTCTCATCTGTAGTGATGTTTCCTGCAGCATCCAGTTCCTCTACAGCAGTACTGTTCTCTGTTACCGTGGCTGGTGCCTGTCCCTTTGGGTTCTCATCTTTCTTAAGTTGCCTTCGTTCTGCAACCATGTTGCGTGCACTTCGACGGACATGGATTCGCACAGGAATACTTTGTTTGCGAGGACTACGACGCAATGGGGCATCTCCTGCCGTGCCAAATGGTCTCCATTCCCCATCATCACTGACCTCATGCTGCACGGAGCTCGTACTGCAACACAGTTGCATCAAATGCTGAATGAAAATATAGCATTTTCATCTGGGCATCACTAAACTGCCACATCAAAAGCCACAATTTTACATAGCACAAAACCATTTAGTTATCTTCTTGTCTTGTCTCTAGAGATCTCAACTTTTTACTACACAAAACTATATGTTTTAAATTATTGTGAAACTCACTCTCTCATTCTGATATCACCATACAAACTGAGAGCTTGCAAATATATTGTACTCTTTAAACTACTATAATTTTCTCATTGGTTATTTTATGGTAATATCAGTAAAAGTAATAAAAAAGTAAAGCTATCCCTGTACCAGGCCATGAAGGTCCATAGGGTTGTGAGACGTTGAGGGTCCCACATTATCTAGACAATCGGCTCAAAGATGGTGGTAAGTTTGTCAGCCTTACGCACTGGCCGCACTTTACTCCCCATGAAAATTATTTAATTCCTGGTACTCATTTCTGTTAGAGGCTGAGTGAACCCCAGGGCCATAGTGCAGCTGGAAGGATTAGGTCAATTGAAAAAACCCAATGACCTCATCGGGACTTGAACCCGCGACCTTCCGGCTTGTAGCATAGCCCCTCAATTCACTACACTACCATGTGCTCCCTGCTAATGTCAGTATCAAGACTATATGTTGGCAATGGTACGATGATGAATGAATGATAAAATGGACAGGATATGGATGATGCAGCTATGGCCTACTAGGAGTACTATCCTGGCATTAGCCTGGACAGACTAAGAGTAAGTAAAAAAGTAAAGTTATCCCTGTAACAGGCCGCGAAGACCCATAGGGTTGTGAGATGTGAGGGTCCCACATTTTCTAGACAATAGGCTCAAAGATGGCAGTAAGGTTGTCAGCCTTACGCGACAGCCACTCTTTACTCCCCAGGAAAATCATTTAATTAATTCCTGCTACTCATTTCTGTTAGAGGCTGAGTCGACCCCAGGGCCATAGTGTGGCTGGATGGATTAGGTCAATTGAAAAAATCCAATGACCTCATCGGGACTTGAACCTGCGAACTTCTGGCTTGTAGCATAGCCCCTCAACCAACTACGCTACAGCCTGGACAGACTAAACTTGTCATTACTAAATGGTAAGAGAATGCCTTGAGAGACAAAGGTATAACTGAGATGATAATATGGTAATTAATCTCAAAGAAACAACTTGAAATGCATCAGCAAATTACTTAATTCGATAACATTCAGTGCTTCTACTCAGGACTCACTGTAGGAAACATTGGCTGCAGTAATAATGTGAATATGAATACAGAACAAGAAGAAAAGAAGGGAAGGAGTGAACATAGATACAAGAGGAGAGAGAAAAGTGAAAGAGAAAAGTGTGGATGAAACAGCAGACCCACTATGGAAGAAACTTCAATCAATCAATCAATCAATGGATGATGATGATGATGATGATGGGGCTACAAAGAATAGTCATTTTTCACTTATTCAGTATACCTATCATTTGTGTCCTCTTCAAACTCCCTCACTGGGGTGTCATCCTTGTCATCATCTTTCTTGTTTATATCGTCAGACTTTGGGGCCACTTTGCCTCTTCTGCAAATACAGTGAAGGTCACTCATTTTCTTTATAACATGTAGAGTACTGTGTCCCATCACACAAATTATAATCTGAGTTACAGTTACGTCAGAATATTGTGTCCAGGTGGAGCAAAGATGTAAGTTGTCCACTTCATTGCAGGAGAAAAAGCCCACAATACCCACCAGGAATGAGGCTAGTGGGCTCTAAAACAGGTCAGGACACAGTGGAAAGGAACACAATCCCTGCTCATGCCAGGAATTAAACTCGCCCACCCAACCCACCAGTCCATTTACTGGCTGAGCTCCAAATACACAAGAAATACTTCAAACATATAACACTTCATCATGCTGAAACATGAGAATTCAAATAAAGAGATAGGAATAAAATAAAAGAGATGTATATGTAATGTTTAAGCGTCATCACAGGGATAACAAAACCAGATAAATGTACGAATGAGACAATCGAAGGAGTTTAAGAATGCTTAAAGCAGCTAGACATGAAAAGAGTATGGTGGCTCGGACATGTTAAAATAATGGACAGAAACATAATAAGCAGACTAGTCCTGGAACTCCAGATGAAACTCAAGAGACCATTAGGAGAAACCAGTTTGAGATGGTTTACCCAAAGTAGTTACCACACTGTGACTAGGTAACTGTAGGTAGTTGAATGTATATGTGGGCCATAGATAGATGTATGAGGGCTATTCAGAAAGTAGCCTGTCTATTTTAGGCAACTAATATAGGAGTGGGGGGGAGCTGGTGCGTGCAAGGTAGCGTCACATGACTCTCTGCCTTCTAAACCAAAACGTAACTGGTCACCTAATGTTTGGACTTGACTCTACAGAGTGAGTTATGACATGTTCTACAATTGATAATCTTGCCAACAGCAAAATTTGCACTGCTATCTCCTTTCTTCATGCTAAAAACATTAGCACTGTGGAAATTCATAATGAATTAGGTGCGGTTTACAGCCAAAATGTAATGTGAGAAGGAACTGTAAGACAATAGTGTAGAATGTTCAGAGATGGACAGATAGATGAAAGACTGTGCTTCATAATTTCAGAACATTCACGTGAATTTCCACAAATTGCATGCACTCTTCCTTATGAGATTATCACAGTTAGGCTACGCTATCACAAGTTTTGTGCAAGATGGGTTCCAAAAATGCTCACAGGTGCACATAAAACACACAGTATGGCTTCGGCTTTCACGTCTTTTGGGCAATACCACAAAGAGGGCTATGAATTTCTGAGTCACATCATACAAGTAATGGGTGATGATGAAACCTGGGTTCCATTTGTGAATGTTGAAACCAAAGAGCAGTCAAGGCAGTGGATGCACACTCATTCACCAAACAAGCTGAAAAAGTTCAAACAAACGCTGTCTGCCTGCCAGAAAGCTCATGGCAACTGTTTTCTGGTACAGGAGAGGAGTGCTGATGGTGGAATTCATGCAACAAGGGACCACAGTAATATCAGAAGAGTACTGTGAAGCACTAAAAAAATTGCATATGGCCATTCAGAACAAAAGGCGTGGAATGCTGACATCCAGTGTAGCGCTCCTCCATGACAAGGCACGTCCACACACAGCTGTTCACACTTGAGCACTGCTGGAGCATTTGAACTGTGGAGTTGTGTGACCACCTTCTTTACAGCCCTGATCTCAGTCCGACAGACTGTCACCTGTTTACCTACTTGAAGAACTGGTTGGGATCACAGTGCTTCAACAACAATGAGGAGTTGATGGAAGGTGTCAAAACATGGCTAAGCTCACAAGTAACAGACTTCTTTGGCGAAGACATACAAAAACTTATTCCCTAATTCGACAAGTGTGTCAATTCCAGTGGTGACTACACTGAGAAGTAGCTTAAGAACGTATGTATTTTTTGTACTTAATACAATTTGTTTTCTCACTGCTTTTTTTTAACAGCTCACTGGACATTACTTTCAAAATAGCACCCGTATATCTAATACAGAACCATGAAACAGATATCATAAGGAAAATTTCCTGTAGTTGTATGTAAATTAATAGATGGGAAGATAATATCACGATGAATTTTAAAGAAATGAGGTGAAGATCTGGACTGAATTTGTTTGGCTCAGAATGTGATAAGGCAGCATGCTCTTGTGAACATGGCAATGAATCAGGTTCCCTGGAATCTGAGAAGTTTCTTGATCAGCTGAGTGACTTCAACCTCTCAAAGAGGACTCAGCTCAGGAGTTCAGTTATAGGTGAAATACTAAGAAATATAAGCGGCCTCCGTAGTCTAGAGGTAACGTTCCCACCTCATGACTCATAGTACGCAGGTTCAAATACCCGGTGGAGGTTGTCGAATTTTTAAGGGCGAAAAAATTCAGGGAACAAGTCCTCCGGGAGGGACTTTAAGCCATGGGTCCCGTGTCGTAGCTTTATGGCACGTAAAAGAACCTCATATCTCCAAAGGAGGTCACGGAGCCAAATTACGGACGTTTCCCGCCCAACAGCAGTCTCTAATACCTCTGGAAGATGGGGGAAGCATTATAGATACCTCTCAGCTAGTAGAGCCGGTCTCGCTGGCTGGGCGGGACTGATGGTAAGCACCAGTACCGGTAGGATATAGAGACTGGTAGAATATCATAGAGGGAAGCACAATGGACCAATACAGGTCTAAGTGCATGGGGAAACCCACCCTCTCCAATAACTAACTAACTAACTAACTAAGAAGAAATATAGAATGAAAAAAGTTTTAAACAAAGTATGACTATCGTTAAATATACTATTATTAAATCAATATCAGCATTTCATTTGCAGCAATTGGTGATCTATGTTTCTAGCTGTGCTTCAACCCAATAAGAAACACTGAAACATCAACTGTGAATCAAGGTATCTTCCTCATTTCAATACCAGCACATTTTGTCTTAAAAGCTTTCTCATGTATCAAGTGGCCATTAAGTAGTCACCTACTTGTTTATGATTATAGTATGAGTATTAATTGTGCTGAGAGAAATACAGATATAATCATGCAACTCTACAGTGTTGCGAGCTTTGTTCTTTAAACTCTACTCTTATCAGGGGATCCTGAATCCTCATTTTGTATTTGACTATCCAGCAATTTTGAAATATCATGGTATGAAAATCTTGCATAATGAGATCCAGCTTACTGGGAAATCAGTCTCAAGCAAACTGTTATCCCTTAATTTATTAAAAAAAAGAAGACTTAGATCACAATTATCTCTTGACGCTGAACTCTCCTGAAAACAGCAGCCAAAGAGAAAGTCCATTTCTTTTGCTTTTAACAGACGAGTTCAATTTATTCTTGGCCAGGTGTTGAAAAATAGAAACGTTTTCACCAAAATAGGCTATGACTTAATAACTACTTGGCACATTAATATATTATATGGTGATACTGAAGATTTGGTATTACAAATAGTGACATAACTATTCCTTCAGTAAAAATGTGATTATCAAACATGAAATTGAAGAAATCACTAGTATAAATATATAAAGTACCATCAGTCTTTCATAGTAAGTCTGGATAATAAAATCTCTTGACTTGGTTCAGATGTGGCAAAAATACTCATTGCTTTTAATAACTATAACATATGGTACGAAGAGTATGGTCTGGGTTGTAACACTGTGTAGTATAGAGACAGTCTATCATTTTGGAGAAACATATCCCTTCCATCTTCCAAGATGAAGAGCAAGCAATCTGTCAGCATTCCAAATAGGAACATATTATTTTGATATTAAGGTTTTTAATGCCCCACCTCCTAGCATAAAGAACATAGCTCATGATATTAAACAATTTAAATTTGCTTTAAAAAAATTCTGCTCCTAATTATTTTTTTTTATTACTAGTGGGGTGGGACTAAGTCCCTTATACTGCGGCCACTTCTGGCCTATTGTACAATCCTAATTCATTTTACTCACTGGAGGAATATTTTAACAACAATACTGATCAAAGATACTGGTTCATTACATGCTTAATGAAGAGAAGTACATTTCATACTTGATTATTGCATTGTTGTTAATTTATAGTGTGACGCATGCTTGAAGTCACTCACACTGCATAGCAGTTTAATTACCATATTGGGAGTTGTCTTAACAATATGTATTTGTCTAATTGTGCCCAGGCAAGCCACGTAATCTGTTCTGTTGTCACAGTTTATTTTAGTTTACCAGCCAAGTAAGGCTGGATGAGTGTAAATGAAGCAAGAAATGAATGAATAAATAAATAAATTATAGCCAATGAGATAAAATAATTGTATACTAGTAATTAAACTATACTCATTAGAAATAGTTTTATCTGTGTTGTTGTTGTCCCCCTTGCCGTTTTTGGCTGTATTTTACTGTATTCACAGCTCTCCCTTATGGGGATCTATGGACTGCATATTAATGTATGAACGGGGATTGCTTGCTTTTTTTTTTACTTTTACTTACATATTTTATAACCATTAACGATGTACTCACTGACACTGTTGTTGGCAACAGGCTCAAATTGTGATGCACAAGTATAATTAACTTGTATCTATGTAATTTATAATCTTATTACTTATTAGTGATGTACCCATCAACACTGTTTCTGTTAACAGGCTCAAATTGTGATGCATAAGTACAATTAACTTATATTTATGTAATTTGTAATCTTATTCATTTTTCAACTAGACTGTTATTTTACAGATGTCATTTTATTTAGAATGTATTTGACTTGTTCCATATCCTATGGTGTCTACCTGTATCAGATTTACAGAACATAAATAAATTTAACGATGGAACAACTGAACAACAGGAGCAGGTGGCAAATAAGTTAACTGTGTGTAGGAAATCTGGTCTGATAGGTACTAAAACACAGGCAGTGAAATTTGACCACTATCTGGAACCAAGATACAGTTTCCTTTGCTGCCACTGGCTCTCTCTAAGTCTCTTTTAGAGACAATTGCAACTCTTCCATTCACTCTTTCATTGTTCCCTGCAGACTTGGACCAGCCTATATCAAAATGGATCATGTACATGCTGTACATTCAGCTAGCCACCTGCTTCTGCTGGTTTCTTGCTTGACTTACTCCTGGACTCTGAAGATGGAAGCGGTCTGTTCCAAGAACACATCAGGCTCTCTCCAAACTACAACCCAGATGACCATATTCCTTAGTCACCACTGTGAGTACCATGAATTCAGGACATATATCAGTTACAAATTCTTACAAAGCCAAGATTAAGAAAAATGTTAGGCATCTAGAATTTATGTGTTTATATACATATTTATCTACATGTAAAATCACAATAAAAATTCTACAATGAATTTGAAAGTGAAAAGTATGTGGGATGTGAAGCCATGTAGTCCAGTAGAAATTCCCCAACATTTTAGAAGACTGTCAACAAACTCAAACCAGACTGTCATCATTTACTGCATATAGTACCCTCCATAATCACACGTCAGAACCTTGAATCCATTCAATTCTAAGTGTGAAAAATTAATAACAATAAATCCATGCAATAACTGTTCACTGTGCCATATGAACAAACTGACAATTAGAGGCAAATATGATGCTTCTCAAGTTGGCGTAATTCTGATGTATCATCCAATGCGGCCATAAATTCAAACTTTCTACCTTTTTCTTTGGGGGGGGGGGAGAACAACTGACTGTTGAGGGGATTTATGCATGTGTTCCTGCTTTGCTTCCGAATTTTGCATAGAATAGTGCTTAATGCACATACATAAGACGTATGTCAACATAGACACTCATCATAACTCGACCGCAATAGTGATAAATATCAAATACACGTGTCTTTGTAAACAATGTTTACAGCAGACGACGGTATTCGGTGTTTCGCAGAAAATGGCGGGAAATATATTGATCGTTAAACGTCTTATTCCAGCATCCCACTTGCTGTTATCCCTGAACCACACCCCCAACCCTCTTCTGTACCGTTTCTGGTATCGTAATAGTGATCTTTCATTCATTCATGGATCATGAAAAATCAAAAACTCCTGCTATTCTCCTTACACTGACTGAGGCTCTGCAAGATCCAACAGATACGCAACAAAATCAACATCACTTTCGTAGTCCAGCTTCTTCTTCAATATAATCCATCTCCTGGCGTTACCAGCACCGATATATATATTGTTCACGATTCGCTTATCATTAAAGTTACGTTTAACTGTCTTTGGCTTACAACCAGTTCTTCCTATGGATCTGCTGTCTTTTGTAGTTTTTTTGGGCATCACTACATTCTAATATATCCAATTTAGCACAAAAACTTCGTAATCTGGTTGCTATAATATGCTATCCTCTTTATGCCCTGCCCTCCACACTTATCGATCTGCAACATGGCGAATGAGCGACAAGTAGCAGACGATTCTATTTACAACGATAGAGGCGGGAAAATTGACGTCCGTGAATTCTCGGATGCAGTCGGCAACGTCGGCAATATATGGCGTTACATCAAGTGCAATTGGTCCCCCCACCCTCACAGTCTTACGGAGTTAATATAGCGCAGACCTTTTCGGCCATTTTGGTTTGGTACAGTAGTATTTGGGGAAGGTTGTAGGTAGAACTGATAAATAATGGCAGCACGACGGATAACACAGTCATCCATAAACTGGACGGCATTAGCAGAAAGAGTTCCTGAAAACCAGAAGGGTTTTTTTACAGCGTTCAAAGCCAAGTCTGATGGATATCTACGAAGGTAATTTAATACTGATTGGCTACTGAAGAATCCTGAGATATTAAATGAATAAGTAATTAGTATTTCGTATTGTTTAGGATGATGGCAAACCCAGAAACATCACCAAAAATTGATTGGGATTATTACAAGGCCCGTGTACCTGTACAAGGCATGGTAGATGATTTTCGAAAGAAGTACGAATCTCTGAATATTCCATACCCAACTGATAATGTAACACCACAGATTGAACAACAGGAAAAACAGTCGGTTAGTAGTTTTACATTTGGAAGTACTGTTGAAATCCCTGATGTTATTTATTATTAATCAGAATAGTACTTTCAGCTGAAGGAGGTGCAAGAATTTGTGAAGCAGTCCAATGTCCGTATTGCTGGTTATGAAGCTGAAGTTGGCCGCCTGAAGGGCCTACTCCCGTTTGAACAAATGACTTTAGAAGACTTTAAGGATGCATACCCAGACCAGGTATGTTAATGGTACATTCTGTGTAGAGTAAGGGGCAGAGGGGCCTGGCACCACCAGCATTTAACACAAAAATATTAAGTGTTAGCTTGATCATTTATGATTTGTTTGTATTTATTAGAGTGTAAAAAGCTTTATCAGATTCTGCAGAGGTGTTACTTGGGTTGTAAGGAATACTTGGAGGGCCTTAGCCTTCTCTTACTTCCTTAAGTAAATTCCTTTCACTAGCTTATGGTGATTGATAGTTGTTGCACTGTCCCCTTACAAGTGTGTTTCTATCAGAATGGCTATGGGGTTCTAGCCATTGTCCATTTTTCCAGATTTGTTCATGTCTCCCTGACTTATCCAAGCTCTCAATTTCTCCTTCTTGGTTTAGTCATTAAATGTTTCTATTTCACAAGTTGAGAAAATCTCATGTAAACATTGTAGGTCTCTCTGTTGTTCTGTTTTATTGGTATGCTGGTAGAGGAGGTGGACAGAATAATGGAAACACTAAGAAATTGAGGAACAGAATTTGTGTTCCCTATGTTGGAAGTTGGCAACACTGAATGTTCTTCTGTTTACAATCTGTAGTGCTCATGTCAGTGCATTAGTGATTATGTTGAGTAACAGTCCATATGAAAGAATCAGAAAATGGGAGACTTGCCCAATTTTGAAAGAGGACAGATTGTTGGTGCATGTTTAGCCAGAGTATCTGTGACAAAAAGTGCCACATTATTAGATATATCGAGAACGACAGTTTCTAAGGTTATGTCGGCATACACGAATCATGGGAAGACAACATCAGCAAAGATAAACAGTTGGGGAAAATCAGCATTGACAGAAATTGTTGTACATTGAGAATGATTGTTTCAAAAAATCGTAGAACTGCTGCAGTACAGGTGACAACAGAACTGAATATTCATCTTGAAGACCCTGTTTCCACAAAAACTTTCTGATATGAGCTTCACAACTCCAACATTCACAGTAGGGCTGCAATTGCTAAATCTCAGATTACTAAAAGTAATGCTCAGATGCATAAAGGATAAGTGCCTAAGCTATAAACTATGGACATCAGACAACTAGAAATGCATGTGTGATATGGTCAGGCAAGTCATCCATCACACTGTTCTCTATATAAGGAAGAATTTATGTTTTGGAAACATCCAAGAAAGTATACAATCTGGAATGCATGTTTCAGTTCCAACAGTGATGGTTTGCGCAGCAGTATCATGGTACAGTATTCTGTTGGTCCCATTATTACCCTTCATGGCTGAATTACTGCAAGGGAGTATGTGGACAGGTTGTCCACTGTCTATTAAGTTTTGATGAAAGTTTTCCATATAGGATTTCACCAGTACCTGTGAAGCACTTCATGGTATACATAGAGAAGTTCATTTAGTAAACCAGGCATTCCTGTTATCAGTACAACTGAAGATCATAATTGTTTGAGAATTCTTAATGAAATCCTGCTATAGGCAGTGAGTCTGTCCTATTAATAATATTTGTTCATGAAGGTCTTAAGTTGACTGAAAATAGTGAATATGAAACCAGTTATTAGTAATGTTATGACAAATTTTGTTTTCCTGTTGCAGGCCTTAGACCCCCTGAACAAACCCACATACTGGCCTCACACACCTGAGGAGCAGTTGGATTATGATGATTCAAAGGTACCCAAAGAGGATGCACACCATTAAAGACAATATGTGACTACAGTCATTTTAGTTTGTTTCATATTATGTATATTAGCCATGTTGACTATAAATAAATGTACAATAGGAATATTGTCCAGATTATCGTTGTCCTTTTCATCTCGATGTTTAATTACACTTGCTATGACTATTCTTCTACTAGAGTCGATACGACCTTTGTACTTTTAATTTCATTGTACCAACAGTATAAATATGCACATTTCAAATATCACATTCTTCTTCACCTCTTTGAGCTATATGAAAGGTCTTGCATTTAGAAGCATCAGTCACATGCAAAATTAGGTTTTTTTCATCTTGCCATACCCAGAAAATGCAGAATACTCACTTTTATAAACCTACAGATTATATAACAATGTAGCTGCAAGAATAATAGTGGTGATATATTTGTTGCTGGCTTCAGTCATTACTGTTCAGAAGACATTCTTCAAAGCATCATTTATACAAAATTGTTCCAAAATCTTTCATTCTTGTATTCTTAAAAAATAGTTTTGTGATCGATCCAGAAAGACAGTTCAGGACATCAATAAAATTTATTTTCCTGCCCTAATGAAGTGAAATGCTGCATTTATGAAACCCTTTTGTCCCCAGATTTTATTACCTCTAAGATGAGAATGGTCAACAAAGGTGACTTGTAAGATTGGCTCAGAGCCATGAAGGGGACCAGGTAGTTTTCACATTCCCAAAGTTGGATGTTTGGCTCAATTACTGTGTTGGCAGAAACCAGCATGCAGGTAAATGAAGGTAAAATAGAACAGTGGAGTGAATATGCCACTCAACACAAACCAGCCGCCAGCAATGAAATGATCTCTCAACCCCTCACAGCTGATGTAAAAGAATATGGACTCATCTGTTCCACCCATACATAAAGATGTCTTCTGTGCATGTGCCATCACACTAACCAAGCTCTGCTTTTGGCAAAAAAATTTGTGACTAAAGACTGAGCTTAGAACCCCTTGCAGAAAGTCCACTTTCTTATCTTCAAACTACCAGGGCCCCTCCACTGCAGACTGTCCTTGTATTACGTACTTAAAATGTGAAGGCAAAAGAAAAACCCTCAAGACATGGTATGATTAAGTAGATAATACCATTACTGTGTATTTTTTATTTCCAATTTATAAAATACCTACACTACAAAGACTGAGATTACATGATGGGTGAAACCAAGACACTATCACATTATTGCACAGGAGCAGGCTGTCACTAAACTCTAGGAAATACTGACAAAAGTACAATTTTTAAATTACAAGAAAAATGTTTACTCATAACTTAACATAGCATGCCTCAGGCAGGCTCGTATGGTGCCCTTACTGTCAGAGGAAATCACGGCACATTTATTTTGTTCCCACGTCAATAGAGCAAGGTATGCAAGATACAAAATGTCACACATACTAATGCAGTGGTGTTCCTTATACATAACATAGCAAACATAACAATCAGGGATCCAATCTAATGTTGTGTGCATGATAACTCATTTAATACAAACCTACCCATTAAAGAAGTACAGTAAAATCCATCTTAAACTGGAACCCAAATCAAACAGAAATCTGTCTTTATCTTGACACTTCTTTTAGCCTGGGAATGTAGTGGAAAATTCCATAAAATTTTAATCCAATACATGGAATCTGTTTCACTTCAATGTACAAGATGCTTAAATCCATGTTCTTGCATTCTGTGAGATTAAAATGCCATTTATATTTTACTGGTGGTGAGTGTTAGGAAATGAACTGTATTTAATACATTTTTAAGCTAGAATATCAACTTTTTTCTGAATTTCTAAATGGTTTATATAAACAGTTTATTCAGCACTCCTTTATAACATTTTTTCTTCGATTCTCATAATACATTTGAATAAGTGCATTTGGTGCAACAAACTTTTGATGACATATCAGTACCCTTGACTTCCTTCCCCCCTTGGTATGTGTTTGTTCCAAAATACAGTCAGGTCTAATACAGCCAGTCTTCTGTTTGTATGTGCTCTTGTTTAATGTTAGTATACTGTCATACAACAAATAGATAGCTGCAAACTGAAAAGCAATAGCCTAATGCATATTTTCTCACCTATGCTAATGTGCTGCTTTTCTCTTGGCATGTGTCATTTCGAGTCTCAACAGGTTTCACCGTCTCTTCACACGTTGAAGCATGTGATGAGTAGTTTATACAGCCATAAAATTTCACACACAGGATCTGTCTACACTAAATGTGAAAACATCCCTCCCCCCACACACAAAAAAAAGGTTTGCATGTGTATGAAACCAAGCAACTTAGATCAAGCATTACTTCTGACTTGAATATAAGAAATGTCACATTCTAATCTTAGCCAGGATACTGACTTCTTACCAAAATGTTTTTATTGATATCCTCAGTCTCTCCAAGCAAATACAATGATAGCACCTTTCAATATGCCACATCAACTTTTCCCTATCCTTTCAAATTCAATGGCATCATCATACACAAAATATGCTTATTTATATTTGCTTCTATGGATACAGTGCAATCAAAGATAAGAGTTTTCTACACTCTCACTGAAATGAAATGAGAAAGATTCCTTCATATATAGCGATATAAGTGTTTCAAGTACTTTGTGGTGTTGTGTTAATACTCCTGCATCAGGATGTATCAGCCCACACAATACTGAGAAGCCTGCTGGCACTACAAATAGAAATGCAGAGCAAAACAAATCTGACATGCTAATGCTTTTTCTTCAACTACACTGAAAATTGTAAGGCTTATAGAACAAATGTACTGCAAATGAAATGTGTGTTTAATTTTCTCTACTTTCACTTGCCACCCTCTGCACCAAATACAAGTTCTGCTTCAGACATAAACAGAAGTATGCAGAATCTACATGCAGTGTGCAATGTCTGATTTCAACAAAACGTGGAATGTGCTGACATGACAGTGGGAACTTCCCAATAAAAAATTTCTTAATTATCCACTACACTCTTTTTAAGTAGTTTTCTGCATACAGACAGAGGAGACACAGCAGAACGTATTTCTGCAGCTGTTATTGTAACTGCACAAAAAAATTTCACCACTGTAACATTACCGTCATTCCTGTACTTCAGATTTTTAGTATCAAATTCTTAATAAAAAAAACAGGTTAGCCTGGTTACTCCTGAAAGCTTTCATGTGAATATTATGACAGAACCAATGACATATGCAGAGGCAACTTTAAAGCATCTACACAGTCTTTGGACCCCCCCCCNCACACAAAAAAATAAAAACATACTGGCTGCTCAGGATTGTTAAATATTTAAATATAGTGAAGCCTCGGGGGAACATCAGTAAACAGATCCACCACTCAGAAGCAGAAAATTAAATTACAAATGCATATCTCACAATCTTAGAAGCCTACAAAAGAACTTCAGATAAATAAGGTGAATAAATGTTCCATTCTCTTGAGTACAGAATCTTTAATATCATGACATAACAGGACAATGTACTCCCATTTGCCCAGCTACAAATACATACTATGGTAAAAGTTATACCTTTCAGCCATGAAGTTCAATGCACAGAACAGAAAAGCAAATCTGTCCAAATATTTACAATTCTGTTACATTCTGTTTTGTATTATCCCTCCTGTAACTTATCTGAGACAGACCATTCCTGCTACAAGATGAAAATATTAAACCAGTCAAAAAGGCATGTGCAAATACCTTAATGGTCTGATGAAAAAAAAATATAAGGCTACATGGTAACAGTGTACTGTACAGACATAGCATAAATTTCTGGCTTATGATATGGATCACAAATATAGCAGAAATGAACTGTGCAATATTTTCTTTTTGAAGGAAAACTATGACAAACAAAAATGGTCAGGTTCCTCAGGACTCCATTACAAGCAGGTTCTACTGTACAGCCTATGTACTTTGAAATCAAGAACGGTTATTGAATGAACTGCAGAACAATTTGACAACTGTACAGACCATCCATGAGCAGTATGGCTGCAACTGTACTAAAAATTAAATTATATTTCTAAAAAGGAAAACAGCAAATATACGTCACTGAAATAAGGGAATAAAAAGGCTTATGTGACTGGAATGTGCTGCTACCTAGTGATAAGCTCTAACACAACAGGCACAACACATATAATTCCCTAATTCTTCGGAAGTGGTGGTGGGGGTTGACTGTAGGCATAGCCATTCATCTGCTGATACTGACCATAGCCTGTGTATCCCACATTGTTATTGGTCATATTGGGAGGGGGGTTGTTGGGCTGGTAGTATGGTGTAGAGGCAGAGCTCTTAGAACTGTTATGTTGAAAATGATTCATGTTTCCCGTCTGTGGTGGGGGTGGGGGTGGGGGCTGTTGTGGGATACTCAAAAGTGGAGGTGGGTTTTGCCCCAAACCACCTCGCCCACCCATCTGAGAAGCATTGTTCTGTCCTAGCCCTCCCCTGCTGCCAGAAGACGGGTTGCCCAGTGGCTGGAAGTTTGCATTCTGTGGTTCATTATTGTTTGAGAACCTACTTCCACGGTCCTGGCTCTTATCTCCCCAGCGACTAGATCTCCCACCCCTGTCTCTGTTTGCACCTCCCCCCCTTGGACCACGGTCATTGCCTCCTCGTGGACCACCTCGGTCACCTGCACGATCTCCACGGTCATTGCCACCTCGAGGTCCTCTGTCATCTCCTATCCTTCCACGAGGTCCCCTATCATCACCCCGACCTCGAGTTGGCCTGTCATTGGCACTGCCACGTGGCCCTCTGTCACTGCCACCTCCGCCGCCACCTTTACCCCAGCGACTTCGATCTGAAACAAATCAGTAATTAATGTAACATTCCCAGTCTGCGTGCACCATCAGTCTTCAGGCCAAGGGAGTCTATATTCAATGAAAGAATTTTTGTGTATCATACCATGTAAAAAAGATTATAAAAATTGCCAATATTTTGAAGGGCCTTACTATATCCTTCAGATCAAATGATGTTTTACTTCAATACAGTGTGATAGCAAGGGAATTCTATAAGGATAGGTGCTGTCTTGTCACAGAGGGGAAGAACTGTATTTTATTGTTGGTTTCCACCATCCCTCCATAACAGTAACAAATACACATCTATACTAAAATGGAAACCTCAGCCATAATGCAACAGGACAACTGAATTCATCAGTTTGTTGAATTTTAATTTAATTTAACTCGGCATTAAATGAGAATATAGTGAATGATGAAATGGGGAAAATGTAGATATGGTCAAGATCAGTTTGTGGTAATATCACAGCATGTGTTGGGGAGGGGGGGGACATAACATGTAACACACATCACCCATTTCAAGTTCAATCTTAAGAGAATAAGAAGAGAGGAACATGACCAAACTTTCTTATGCAACGAAAGGAGCGAATGAAGCATACAAAAAATGTTATATTTACCATTGTTCCAATACTGTTTCTGTAATCTCCCAGAAATAAATTTGTTCCCCTTATGTCATTTGTAAGGGAGTTGGGATACCTCAGTATGGTGATGCAAACGGGGCTGGATGGCTGGGCTCTGATTCCTGGTAGGGGCAAGATTTTTCTCTTCTCCTCAGCATCCAGACATGATCTGGGTCCTACACAGCCTCCTATCCAATGGGTATCAGTGGCGATTTTCCTGGGGGTGAAGCGGCCAGGGTATGAAGCTAACCACTCACCTCCATCTAGTGTCGTGGTCAAGAATGGTGGAGCTATACCTCCACCCTCCCACGTCATCATGGTACAGTGCTTAATTAATTAATTAATTAAGCAGAGGGACATCTTTAACTTTTTATGTTTGTTGTAAAACGACAAATAGTTCATTTAAGCTCGAACTTTGTTACTGTTGTGTGTTCTGAGTATGTGCCACAGTTCTTTCAGAACATGCAATTATTTTCTATTCCAATATAAAAAAAACAGTACACTGCTGTTACACTTTGTGAATAGTTGCAACACAGGTCTACCAGGGTTTCGTTATGATTCAAAATTTTCTATTATTAGCAGGACATTTGTTAAAAGTGAAGAATGAATACTGTCATTATACACTGAAAGATGAATGTCTACACAAAACAGGTCACAGAAACACATATAAAATTATTCCATAAAACTAAAATGTGTTGAATATAGTTTCACTCACTCCGTCCTCCAAATGCACCAGACCGTGCCATCTGTGCCATCTCATGAAGTTTGGGATTGATCACCTGGTTGGCTTCCTGCAGAACAGCAATCAAGTCATTTGCCTGCTTTGCATTGCTGGGCGTGAAGAATGCATATGCAGTGCCTGTACGCTGCGAACGTCCTGTACGTCCAATACGATGGACATAATCTTCAGAACTTTGTGGGTAGTCAAAGTTGATGACGAATTTCACATCCTCAACATCTGAATAAAATGAAGTTGTTATGAATACAGTGAAACTATGTGATATGTTACAATGTCTCTTGCAACTTCTGAATGAATATAGAACAATTCTTATAGCAGTTACATAATGCCAGGACAAACTAATGTAAAGTGATTACACACATGCAAAAGGTAATATGAAGTCAAAGCAAAACTAACAGAAAGTAAATTTTAAATCTGTCTCCAGGTTCAACATACTGCACCTACTTCACAGTTTAATAAAACAGCAGGGAGGTGAACAAAGGATAGCTGCATGGCAGAATAAAACTAGAACTTCTCTAATTAGGTAAGTACTGCAGTGAAGCAGAAATGCAGAACAAGATTAAACAAGTGGAAAGATACATTCCAATCTACATTACACATTTTCCTATGTTAGTTTTTTCTCTTCTAGACTGCTCAATGTATGTTCATTTAAAGTAGTTAAAAATCTGCTGTTTGCAGAACTAATCACTTACACATTCTGCAGAGAAATCAAATTATTTTCCCTTCTACTTCATTAAATAAATACACACTAAAAAAACATTTAAAATAGGAGTTAAGCAATATCTGTCATGTACCACCAATCCTTTGTGAGTAATCTGAACTTTCATACTGGGCCAAAATGGAATAATACGAAATTCACCCAATTACTGTACTTTTCATATAGACACTTCCTGCAATGATTGAATTTCACAGAAATCTACACAATATTTTTGGAACAAAAATGTATATATACAGACAAACTTGTGTTTTAATCATTCTGTGCACTTTGAACAAAGAAAAAAACAAATCCTATTATGAAACAGTAACAAGAGTGAAATTTGGATTTGCTACAGATATTAAAACCAATGAATCAGTTCATATCCTTTCTCTTCTCTATCATGTTTTCCTCCATTCAGAATCAAATAACCGTAAAGCCTACTTTTATCTCGCATATAACAACCCCAAAAAATTAACGATTTCTACACATATGCTTAACCTTGGCAAAAGCCAGAGGTGATTGGTCAGCTCCACACTCCAGCATATTTATTCTTCAGGAAAAAGCACTGATATAAATTGGACAGGTAGGTGAGTGAGCTCCAGAACCAACTTGGACTTAGTGGCAAACAAAACATTCTGCCTCTGCCAGAAATCAAACCCTGGTTGTCCAGCCCACCACAGCCCATCAGTCTACTAAGATAACCTAGTTTGCTCAAATCTGATAGGTGAAATAGGTGTTCCTATATGTTCTGAATGTGGTGTCAGGAATCAAACCCTGGATGTCTAGGCCACAACTAACCACTCTACTGACATCTTGGCTCAATACTTTACAAGAAATTATTTAACCATATGTGGGTTAACTCATTTTCTCGATCTTACAATCAACAAAGTTTTCTTGTTCACCTCCCTGCAACATTTATGTTATTAATTGCAATAGTTACCTTCGAATCGTCCAATACATGCAGCGCATCATAACCTCTAGCACTGTACTGTAAATCCCTACCTACAGCTCACAGGCTTAACATATTGGGGGGTAGAAGGAGGAAACGTGCGGACAATCGTGGCATGATTAAATGGCTTGTGGCTGGCTAACTCTCCCGCGGGCTTCCAATAGTACGGGCGATGCCCTTGAGGAGTAACCAACCAATCAGAGGCACTGCCAGACGTATATAGAATCACGTTTAATTTTATCTTGCATGTGCCTCTGAAATAGAAACAAACCAGACTGATTAGTTGACAAATATAAAATTGATGCCCAAGGAGAATAACAGTAGTATTGACATACAATGCTGATGTGAACAGCACCAGCATCCAAACAGATGCTAAAACGAAGATTATCATGCATACTACCACAACTCACATCACACACCACATTCTTAAGCAAGGAAAGACTTGTGTCGAGAGCTGCCTGAACCCTCGGTGAAGATACTGAAATTTTAGTGACAGTGTTAACCCACTCACTTATTTTAGCATTGTAAAATGATAAAAAAATTTCCCTCTCCCTAATGTACAAGGCATAGGAGCTTATGCCCAGCAGTCGGACCACAGTAAGGGAATAGGTTAACTCATGATATCTCCAATATGTCACACATGATCCAGTCTTCACACTTCTCATCTTTCCTTCCAGTGAGACCTGACAGCATCGGGCATCAGCTTTTCCTATTTTGTCAACCAGTCTGGCCACCGCTGCCACAATATCTTATACACATTGTTCACCTCCGTACCCCAACTCAACTTCTTCTGCCCGGTTAGTCACAGCTTTATCACAGCTGTGGCTTAATTTCTTAATTTTGGGTGTACTGTCACATGGAACTTGAGCTTTGTTGCAAGAACTGTTACTAAAGTTCAATACATTTTCTCAGTGCAGTATGAACTGTCTTCAATGGACCATCACCATAAATTTGTTTGCAAAGAAAAAGGTACTGTCATTTATTCATGAAAAAATTTACTTCACCAAGTAATGAGAGCTATGCAATATATATTTGTAGAATCCTGAAATAACAAACAATTACATCTCATCCACTGCACATAGATTAACCCTATAAATGTCAACTGATGAAAAAACAAAAGCATATTATGCAGTACAAATGCATGTGTTATTTTCTATCTTAAAAATCCCCAATGCTTCATGTGTAGAAGAGCAGTAAATAAAAATATCTACTGCATACGTTTGTCACAACAGGTCAAATTATATATAAAATGTACAGAGCGATCCATTTGAGATGTTAGAAAAGTAAACCGTTGAATACAAGGAGTTACTGTATGCATCTCTGAGCAGTTTGTCTGAATATAAGTGAGAAGGATGTCCATCTAGGGTGAATGGAGGATTTACTGGCAGTTCAGCTGCGTGGCGACGCTGGCGCATGAGAGACAAAATATGGTGGCCACATTGCAACAGCGAGCACAGTGTGTGTCGTATGGTATGCAAAATTGTTAAGTGTTGCAAGGACCCAGCAAGCTTTTCGACACCAGTATGATTGTCACCACATCCCTTCACATCAGGACACTGTGAAATGGTACGACTATGCCTCACACAGGTGGAAAAAAGAACACAGAAGGAACAGGAAGGAAGACATTCAGTAAGCCATGATTCAGGAGTCCATGGGAGTCGCTGCGCCGCTGCCAGCTGAGAAAAACGTTCCACACGTCCTACAGTACCTCTACATGTTTCCATACCACACAGAGCAACTGCAGGTACTGGCACAGAGTATGAAGGAGGACCCCAAAAAAAATGGAATCTGTTTATAAAAAATTCTGTATTTATTTTTACATAACAAAACTTTAATCCCCTTCAAAGTACTCGCCATTTGATTCGATGCACTTGTCCAAACGTTTTTCTTTTTCAAATTGCTCGAAACATTTTTTTAAAATTCATCACTGATGATGCCTTTTAGTGCTTCTGTCATTTTTTTCTTCACGTCAACATCAGTAAAACGTTTTCCCTTGAGGTCTCTTTTCATCCGAGGAAATAAAAGAGTTGCACAGGGCAAGATCAGGTGAGTACCAGGGGTGACACAAGGGTGTCATGCCATTTTTGGTCAAAAATTGCTGCACACTCAGTGCTGTGTGGGCAGGCAAATTGTCATGATGAAAGAACCATTCACCTGTTTGCCACAAATCAGGACATTTTCTCCTTAAACTGTTATGCAAACTTTTCGAAACTTCAAAACAATAACTGACTGTTTGACCCTGTGGTACAAACTCTGAATGCACGACGCCCCTGGAATCGAAGCAGCATATGAGCATTGTTTTCACATTTGACTTCACTTGTGCTTCTTTTGGGCATGGAGAATTGGGACCTTTCCATTGGCTGGACTGCTGCTTTGTTTCAGGATCGTAACCGTAGGACCAAGATTCATCTCCAGTTATGACCTTGGAAAACAAATCAAGATCGGTTTTCAAGTGCTCCTTCAAAGCACGGCATGCAGGCAGCTGATTGTCTCTCTGATCAGGGGTGAGCAGGTGAGGCACGAACTTCACTGCAAGTCGTTTCATGGGAAATTCTTTGGTTAAAATTCACCGACAGGAACTCCACGCGATCCCTGTAAGCTCCACAAGTTTGTCAATTGTTTGCCAGCGATCTTCCAGAATAATCTGATGAATTTTTGTCACGCTTTCATCAGTTTGGGCAGTTGAAAGATGTCCGCTTCGATGATGATCATCAGTTGACATTTCACCACATTTGAAACAGGAGAACCATTCGTAAATTTGTGTTTTACTCATGGCGGCTTCCTTGTAGGCTGTTTGTAGCATAACCGTTTCTGCTGCTGTTTTCACCAAAAGGAAACAAAACATCACAGCAGCATACTGTTTGTGTGAATCAGCCATTAGAAACAAATTATCAAAAAGTTACTTGGAAAAAATTCACCAAACACTAATGCAAACTTCTCTGATGACTCCAGCCAGCATACTGATTCAGGAAGGTGCTGCAAACAGCAATCTAAAAGCAGAAGCCTGTACTACAAGCACCCTGCCTTCTAAAAACAAATTCCAGTTCTTTTTGGGTCCCCCCTCGTTATTACACTGACCATCTCAACTTCTCAAACATGATGTGTGAGTGGGAGGCAGCAGATGATCATTGGTTACACTAATGGATGTTCATGGATGCAGCCATATTTCATGTGAGCGGCCAAGTTAACCCGTTGCCGTGGTTCGTCGTGTATGTTTCGTCAGGGATTTAAATCGTCTGGGGGGGTTCGACGTGTATGTTTCGTCCAGCTGCACACGTATGTTATAACGCCCATAATAATTGATGGTTTTGCTGTAGATTGTTAGATTTTTCACTGGCCTGTTGTCAGGAGGACTGTATTTAATGACACACGCGTTTAAGAGCGCTAAGTCGTCGTTACATATGCCTGTCTTGCAGCAACGTTCCTGTGGCTATTGCGAGCTGTTTCTGTTATGAATGATGTGTTTTGTTTGCTCTGAAGCTATAAACACCAGAGAC